CGGGGTGGGCGCCCCGTCATGGCGGCCCGGAGCGCCCCCAGCTGCCACCTGCGGCTCGAGTGGGTGTACGGCTACCGGGGCCACCAGTGCCGCAACAACCTCTACTACACGGCGGCCAAGGAGATCGTGTACTTCGTGGCGGGGGTCGGCGTGGTGTACAGCCCGCGGGAGCACCGGCAGAAGTTCTACCGGGGCCACAGCGACGACATCATCAGGTACCGGGGGCGGGGGCTGCCGCCGTCACCCCTGCAAACCGCTCCCGGAGTTGGCACCTGCCGGTCCTGGGCGCCGTGACCATTCCTGCAGGGAGCATCCCCCCAGAGAGGAATCTGCAGCTGTCTGGTCCCCAGTCCGCTCCGTTAACACCCTGCAAACGCCTTTCCCCCCCCATCGTCCTATCCTGGGGAGTCACTCTGGTCCGTGCAGTAAGATCAGGTCTGCGGATCCACCGGGCGTTGGGTTTCATGGCTTTGTACCCTTTCCCCCCTCCATTAAGATTATGAAAACTGCGAAAAGTTATTTTGGTAGCACTTTATTCCTTTAAATCCCGTGAGAGATTTCTTATTAACTAAATTCTTAAAGCACCAGGGGGAAAATCCTTTACCTAATAGAACTGATCCAAGCACAGCAAGCCTAGGCTGGTCCTGGGGAGCGTGCCCAGGGTGGCATCCTGGAGGGCACTCTCCTCTTGGCCGTAATTATTAGTTCAGGTTTCACTGCCTGCTGTTATCGGCACGTAGAAAAGAAACCCCGGCAACCTACAGGCAATTCGCTGGATGTCAAAATTTGCACACCCCAAAGCAGTTTGAGGTAGGTAGGTCTTGCCTGAAAAAGCTGCTAAAAATAACTGATTTCCAATTCTCTTGTTCTATCTTCATTAAAGTACTCCTAAGTATGTTACTTTTGTATTTTTTATTTTTTGTGTGTTTTTATTCAACCTTGGGCAGTATCTTAAAGTTAGTCCCAGTACTTGTTTACATTTCTTGAGTGAGCGGTATATTTGAAATGTAATTTTCAGTCGGTGTCTCAGCTGAACTTTTGTGGTAAAGTTAAGAGCTTCAGAAATTATTCTATGCCATTGATTATTGCCTCAAGTACAGCTTTTTTTTTTTTTGTCATTTATAGAGGAGAATATATTTAAAATTCTTTGAGAATGTATTTGTTTGCTACTTTTGGGTTTTTAACAGAGATTCTACGATTGGGTTTGGTTACTCAATTTTATTCCCTTATGTATTCACTTATGTTCCACAGGATTTAAATTGGGCATTTCAAATCCAGTATTTTGATTTGATGTCTTGTAGGCAAGAAGCTCTTCTACTTAAATTCCATAAGTAAAGTTGTTCTGTTTAGCCTCTCTGTATATCTATGGTGTGTAAGAGGAAACAAAACAAAACACCCAGGACAAAAGATGGAGCGAGATGGAGTAAAGATTAGAAAAGCAAAGATTGAGATTGCAGAATAGGGAATGAAGTGGTGTTTTTTAAGACACCAAAGTAGAATTTCTTCCAGGTTGTTTTTAATGCATTACTTTGCAAAGGAAACTGACAAGTCATTTCATTTTTCTCAAATTAGCATTATTTTTGTAGTGGTGATCAGGGTTACAGACCTATTATAATAAGTTGCTGACTGAAACCAACCTACCAACCCCATAGTAATTATTTATCTTGTTATTCATCTCAAGAGTAGAGTCTATCCCAGTTGCTTGTCTTCTTCCCTAATCCTTTCAAGTCTACCGTCTTTTCCATGTTTTAGGTCTCCTGAAGTATCAGGCATAGTAGCTTTATGTAGTTGAAGCAGCCTTAACTGGAGCCCTCCTCCTGCTACTTGGTCTCCTAGGTTGAATTCAGTAGGTGGGGTAGATGTGAGGGATTTTGAGGTCTTCTGATGGTGCACTTGCATTGTTTTTATTCCTTTGTTGTTATAAGAGACTATGGTACTAAGGCTTTCTGAAACTAGATATGATTTATTTCTTGGGATAAATTATGTCTTGTTTATTCTTTCAGCAATAATTAGAAGCTATATTTTATGTTATCCTGCTTAAAGTTTTATAATTGTCTTTCAGTAAACTGTAAGGAAGGCAATGCTTTTGACTTCTTTTTGTATAGTTGTACCACCCATATGTATATCTCAAAATATTTCAAATGACAAACATATTCTAATTTTGCCATAATTGAATACATGCTTATGATTTCATGCAAATTGTACATCCTTAAAATAATTTATGACAATGAAAAGATGTTTCCAGAAAAGTTGCAATGGGTAGTAAAATGTGAATCATATAATGTCTTGAAATTGGTGGCACAAATTTAATACATTACCAAGAATATAATTTAGAAATCAGTCAAAGGGTTCTGGGAATTTTATTTCTAACAGTAATGATAGAGATCATTCTTGTTAGTAAAACAGATCAGGGAAATATTAAAACCTCTGACTTTTTAAAATTCGGTATTTGACCTGTAAGTACAGAAGCCACTTGAGTAATTTTTCAGTTATGTCAGAGCAGAAGATATAATATTCATAAATGTGATACATAGTGGAAAACAATGTTGCTGTAATGATAACCTTAGCAATAAAAAGTCAGTGCTTTTTTTCATCATCTTTTTTGTTTCCATATTTGCTTGAAACTTACGTAAAACTTATTGGTCAAATATGACAGTCTATTCCAGAATAAGCAGGTCATCGGAATAAAATTAAGAGATGTTTTCAGGGAAACATAGGAATTATCTAGAATAATAGTTGAAATTACATAAATGTGTATTAACTATATCAGGGTATTTTTAAAAGTTTGCGGGAAAATAGAATTAAAAGATAATATAAATCTTTTTATGAACCCTTTGAAGTACTGTCATGCACATAGGTTCAAATATGCAGATACCATTAAAAATATAATGTCTTGGATATACATTCAGGAAAACATATGGAATAATAAATTCTTAGAGGCTATTAAGAACTTAGTGTTTATTTCAAGGTTTTCTTGCTCATCAGAAAAATAGGTATTGAGCATCTTTGTGTAAGGGGCTCCACCTTAAATACTCAGCATTTAAAGACACTATCACGGGGCCGGCCCGGTGGCGCACTGCTACAGTGCGCCACTTGGGAGTGCGGCGGCGCTCCCGCCGAGGGTTCGGATCCCACATACAGACCGGTTCCCGCTCACTGGCTGAGCGCGGTGCGGGCACAACACCAAGGGTTGCGATCCCGTTACCGGTCAGTAAAAAAGACAAAAAGGAAAAAAAAAAAAATAAAGACACTATAAGTTAAGTAAAGAATCAATTAGAGGGCCGGCCCGGTGGCGCACTGCTACAGTGCGCCACTTGGGAGTGCGGCGGCGCTCCCGCCGAGGGTTCGGATCCCACATACAGACCGGTTCCCGCTCACTGGCTGAGCGCGGTGCGGGCACAACACCAAGGGTTGCGATCCCGTTACCGGTCAGTAAAAAAGACAAAAAGGAAAAAAAAAAAAATAAAGACACTATAAGTTAAGTAAAGAATCAATTAGAGGGCCGGCCCGGTGGCGCACTGCTACAGTGCGCCACTTGGGAGTGCGGCGGCGCTCCCGCCGAGGGTTCGGATCCCACATACAGACCGGTTCCCGCTCACTGGCTGAGCGAGGCACGGGAGCAACACCGAGGGTTGCAATCCCGTTGCCGGTCCCCGGTCCGGTACTTGGGCAATACTGAGGGTTGCGATCCGTTGCCGGACATGAAAAAAGACAAAAAGGAAAAAAAAAAAAATAAAGACACTATAAGTTAAGTAAAGAATCAATTAGAGGGCCGGCCCGGTGGCACACTGGAGAGTGCACCGCTTGGGAGCGCAGCGGCGCTCCCCTCTTCGGATCCCACGTGGAGACTGGTTCCCGCTCACTGGCTGAGCGCGGTGCGGGCACAACACCAAGGGTTGCGATCCCGTTACCGGTCAGTAAAAAAGACAAAAAGGAAAAAAAAAAAAAGAGAATCAATTAGAATACTATGTGTACTGGGAGAGCACTAGTGTACCTGGCTCTGTTCTCTTTCACCATAGCAGTTCTTGCCAGGTCACCAATGACCTCCACATTGCCAAATCCAGTGGTCAGTTATGAGTTCTCATCTTTTGTTCTCATCTTTTTTGATTTTTCATCATTTGAACAGTTGGTTACTCCCACCTTAAGAAACTTTCTTAAGTGACACGTCTAGTTTTTGGTTTACTTATTCTTTCAGCGAATATTTATTGAGCACCTTTTTTGCCAGGGAGTATTCTTAACACTTAGAGATAAAGCAGTAAACCAAACAGATGAAGTTCTATACTCTCATAGAGCTATATCTTCTTGGGGGAGGGGAGATACAGAATAAACAAGGTAAATTGTGTGTGTGTGTACACATACATACATATGAGGGTACTTCAGAAAGTTTGTGGAAAAATGGAATTGAAAGACAATACAAACCTTTTCATGAACTTTTTGAAGTACTCTCATATATATGTATGTGCATACGTGTAGTTTGTAAGGGCTAAGGAAAAAAAAAAAAGAAAGTAAGATAGGGACTATTGGGAAGAGTTTAAATAGGTGTTTAGATGGGGTGGCAGGAAAGTCTCACTGTAAAGATAACACTTGAGTAGAGACTTGGAGGTGAGGGAATATGCAGTGTGAATATCTGAGGAAAGGATATGTTTGACAGAGGGACTATCAAGTGCAAAAGCCCTGAATTGGAATGCCTAGTGTATTTGAGGAACAGTAAGAAAGTTAGTGTGGCTGGAGTGGAGTGAACTTTGGGAAAACTAGTAAGAAATGAGGTTTGATTGAGGTAATGGTGGTGGTGACGGATTGTGTAGGACAGTGTAGGCTATTGAGAGGATTTTGGCCTTCCCATTTGAGATTGGAAGTTATTGGAACAATGTAATCAAATTAGTGACACGATTTTACTTATGGTTTAACAAAGTCACCCTGGCTCCTCTATTGAGAACATACTGTAGGGAGAAGTGCAGAATGGAAGCTAGGAGACCACTTAGGAGACTGTTGCAATAATTCATTCAAGAGATATTGGTGGCTTGCACTAAGGTGGTAACAGTTAAAGTAGTGAGAAAAGTCAAATTCTGGACATATTTTGAAGAGAGAGGGAGCATGATTTACTAATGGGTTAGATGTAAATTGTGAGGGATAAGAAAGATCAATGATGATCACAGAATTTTTGGTCAGAACAACTAGAAGAATGGAGTTGCCCGTTATTGAATTGGGAAACACT